AAACATTTTATCATAGAAGGTAATCACGTTGTTCAGGCATCATTCACCCTTGGTAAATCCATGCTGACTGTGCCCCATTAACTTATTTTCCTTCATGGGCCTTGAAAAGTCTTCCAAGAAGACTTGCTCCATCATTTTCCCAGGGACTGAAGTGAGGCTGAGCAGTCCATAATTCACCAGACTGTCCCTTTGGCCTCTTTTTTTGAAAGCAAGTGCAATGCCTGCGTTCCCCCAGTCACTGAGGATCTCCCCAGTCTCCATGACCTTTCAAACATGGCAGAGGGTGACTTCACAACAGAATCAGGCAGTTCTCTCTGCACCTATGGGTGCAGCCCATCTTGTTGCCCTTTGTCTCCTTGTAAGTCTTAACTAAAGCTGAGCTTTGGCTTTCCTGATACAGGAAGCCTGAAACATTTCCTGGCCCAGACAATGTTTCTAAATTTCTTCTTTGTAGCCTGTCCTTGCTTCCAACTCTTCTTATACTGCTTTTTGCATTGGAGCTCTGTCACAAGCAACCTGTCTAGCTAAGCCAGGCTATTTATCTTCCTGAGTATCAGGACAGATCATTCCTGCATTTGGAGGATACCGTACTTAAACACCAGCAAGCTTTCCTGAGTAACTTTACTGTTCAGATCTGGCTCCCATGGGATCCCATGAGTAGCAGATCCAGCTGTGTGCCACCCTTAGTTTTCCTATCCAGAAGTAATGCCTGACACCCTCTAAAAATCTTCACTGCTTCCATCCTGCCATGTTTGTCCTTTCAGCAGATGTCAGGGACATTGAAGTTCCCCTCTTTCAGACCTGTTGGACCCTTCAGAATTGTTCACAGGACTTCTGATATCCTCGCCCTGTTGCAGCCCTAAATCCCTTAAGATTCTTAGTTTCTAAACTCTTAAGACTAGCAGTCCCCTTTAGTTCTCAGAAAGCATCAATATATTAAAAACAAAATCTGGAATTTCCATTTCATGCATAATTTTGATATGTTATGTCCAGGTGAAAAAATACAACCTCCAGTTTTTTCAAACTTTCTAATTTTCATGCAAAACTAATTCTAGTTTTTAAATTACTCTATTTCACTTTATTCACCAAGCTCAAGGCATAACTATTTGATTCTGTCTTCTCTAAAACAGCTGAATATTATGAATCCACAGCTTGCTTCTCTCAGCCCCCAAAAAAACTTGGGACCCTGTCCCCCCGAACTCCAGGAGAGAAAGAGAAAAAAAGAATGAGACACATCTGATACCTGTGAATCAATCTGCACAACTTCGAGACGCTCATATGTTATGTAATTGGGGCAGTATGAGAAAAAGAATATATTCTCTGTTCAAGTTGTTCCTTTTTGGTCTAGATTTTATGAAACGAAATGAATATCTGTTCAATTTAGTCATGTTCATTTAATGCTGAAGGCCTCTCAAACAATGGAGTTTAGAAAAGTCTCCGCCTTTCATCATCCTTCCAAACTTCTACAAGGAGATTAAAATCTATTCATCTTGCAGCATATCTATGTCTGGTTCGCGTTCTCCTTTATCAGCTTAGCTTGTTTGCTAGTATTTATCACACTGTCTGTTTTTTTGGGTTGAGACAGGAGATGTGTGCATGGATTAATTTCATGCCAGAGCTTGTTGAAGCTCTGTTCATAATTTCATTATTATTTTAATCTGGATCTATGAATAGACATAGCACATGATTTTTGTATACCGCAAGTTATTATTTAATGAAAGATTTAAGGATGCTTTACAGAAAAAGAAAACAATTTTTATCCTGTAAAAGAAACTTTCATGTCTAAATAACAATTTTGTCAACTCTGAGTGGGCTCATGAAAAGGCTGTGCTATAGAACTGTGCCAATCAATCACTAAAGCACCAACACCCCTATGCACTGTACTGCAAAACTGTTTTCCTAATAAAACTACATACTACAATCAGGTTATGTTTAAAGTTTTCTTTGAGCATAAACTCTCTTCAGAACTGTACTACAAAAATACCTTTTTAAATGTTTATCATGTTTTTTCTAAATATGTTTACCAACCTTAGTAAGAATACAACTTGTTTCTTGTATTATCTTACAGAGAAACAGTTGTTAATATTTTATTAGCTATTAATATTCTAATATTGTTAACAGGGATAACATTTTAATGTATTTTTTAAAAACTAGGACTGAGTACTTTTAAAGTATTAGCTAAAAATACAATATCTATTATTAATATTAAACATAATAAGTAGTGTAATCTCTACATAATATACCTAGAACACATAATTAATAAATATAAAAAGTGTTATCACAGCTGACAGACTAATATTTGCCAAATAACTGATGACTGCATAGGATAAAAATTTCAGAAATACTTTTAAACTCTTCCCAATAATGGGAATGTTTAGTTGGATAAGTAGGATATATATGAATCAACTGGTTTCCTCAATAGCAAATACTTGTCAAGCTTGGAACTCAAGAACCATAAAAATCTTACTGTCACCTCCCTTTTTCAAACAATAACCAAAAACTTGGAGGCATAAATGCATAATTCCATTAGGAAAAGGTTTGATGATAGTGTTTGTAATTTCTATGATTGTTACACACATTCATAGAATCATAGAATCATAGAATCATTAAGGTTGGAAGAGACCTCCAAGATCATCGAGTCCAACCATCAACCCAACACCACCATGCCCACTAAACCATGTCCCTAAGCGCCTCATCTACCCGTCTTTTAAATACTTCCAGGGATGGTGACTCAACCACTTCCCTGGGCAGCCTGTTCCAATGTTTAACTACTCTTTCAGTAAAGAAATTTTTCCTTACATCCAATCTAAACCTCCCCTGGCGCAACTTGAGGCCATTTCCTCTCGTCCTTTCGCCAGTTACTTGGGAGAAGAGACCGACACCCACCTCGCTACAACCTCCTTTCAGGTAGTTGTAGAGAGCAATGAGGTCTCCCCTCAGCCTCCTTTTCTCCAGGCTAAACAACCCCAGTTCCCTCAGCCGCTCCTCATAAGATTTGTTCTCCAGACCCCTCACCAGCCTCGTTGCCCTTCTCTGGACACGTTCCAACATCTCAACATCCTTCTTGTAGTGAGGGGCCCAAAACTGAACACAGTATTGGAGGTGCGGCCGCACCAGTGCCGAGTACAGGGGCACGATCACTTCCCTACAAATGGTCATTCTTTACAAATGATCATTCTTTACAAATGGTATTTCCTTAGACACAGGAAAGGACTGTGATGCTTCAATTATACTTCCAGACTTTGAACACGCAGTTAACGTCTATACTCTTTCTTAGACTTTTCTTAGAGGCTAGCAGGACTTCTCTGGATGATATTTCTGGTATTTTCAGAGTTACTTCTTGTCTTGACAGATACACTCTATTAAAACAATACCCAGCAAAAAACATTCTCCATTCTTAATGACCTCACACATACTTTTGCTAAGGATTGTGACATACACATGTACTTTGCACAAATGTCCTTAGAGCTGATATTTAGCTGAAATATAGATATTTCCCTAAAATTATCCCAAATGAATGAAGGCATTACAGTTAAGTAACTATTTAACCGGGTATGTCAGGAATAGAGATTTTTTAACAGAGAATTAGGAAAACCCTTATAACCTTGGTATTCATAGTCCACCCTGTGAAAGAATGTAAGCCTGCACTACTTGAGCTGTTATTCCACTGCTCTTGTTGCCAAGGCAGAAGGACACTGTCCCTCAGCAGATCAAGGCATTTGGTGCCTTCCTCACAGATAACTGGTAGGAGATAGGGGTTCCTAGAAGTGGAGTTTCTGATGCTATTTTTTTAGTCCTGACTGATATTAGAGAAGAAATACCCAGTTTCATACAAAGAAACCAAAACAACAGAAAATAACTTTAAAAACTCCTTATAAATATAAACCTGAGCCACACAGAAAACAATTTTAAGTTATTTATGTTCTCTGTGATTCATGATGTGCAGTCACCAAGTCCACATCTTCCATCTGAACTGCATAACAGAAAAATTGTATGTGATCTAAGATGTTCTGCATTGTAATCTCTATGACAGTAACAGTGCTGAAAAGAATTTATGTGGGGGAAGAAACTTGACAGGAATTCAAGCACTAGTAACTATATTAGTAAGTAGGACTTAAAATTAACGTACTTCCTTTATAGTAAGAGAAAGTATAGAAATGCTTCTATGAAGATAAAATGGCCTTCATTTAGTGATAGAGGCGTAATAACGATAGGTAATGGGAACTTTCTTCAGTAGCAGGGGCAGAGCTGTAGGAATTGACTATTATTGTTTTTTGTAACAAGTCTATTCAAATCATCTGTGTATCATGACTGTATGTTATGAAAAAATTAGCTTAGCTTCAATATTCACTGATGCATTTTATTGCATTCTCACTAAAGCTACATCTTGCAGACTTCTCAGTTACCCTTTCATCTACTACATGCAAAATTACATTATAAATATTAAAATATATATGACAGTGGAAAGTTATTAAATTTATTCCTGAATAATATAGCTGCTTAGCCTCAAGCATGAAGTAGTAATAATTACCTCTGAGCTGTAATTAATTGGGCAAATAAATTGTTAAATTTTAGATGTCGATAAATAGAAGAAAGCTAAGAAAAACCAGCAACTGTCAGCAATATTTTAACACTAAGGAATTCTGTATGAGATAAAATTACAGCGAACACATTTAGAAAATATAAACTAAACAGGGACTATGAGACAACAGTAAAATACATTCTCTTAGAATTGTCAGAATTCACCTCAATATAGGGTATCAACAGCCTCAGTATTTTGAAGATTATTACCAATGCAGAAATTACAGATCAGGAAGTATGTTCAAAGATAGATATTTCTTATATATTCTCAACCAAAGTATAAATTACAGTTGAGAAGAAAGAAAAAAGAACCATCTATTACATACAGAGAAGCTGATGTACATACAAAATAAGTGAAGTGGTGAGGCAGGGAAGAGAAGAGAATATGAAAAGAATGGAAAATTAAAGAGGACACTTACTGGGGAAAACCACATCACTTTAAGAATCCAAATTGTCAAAGAAAAATTCACAACTAGGATGATAAGCAGGAGGAGAACAAACAGGTAGAGGCAACGCTTTCTCCAGCCATAAATTCCAATTTTGTAGACATATTCATTCTTCGGCCTCTCTAGGCTAGTGCCTGGTGTTGTTGTAGTGTATTGTTCACGTACCATCTGCTATGTAAAGAAAAAAAAGGGACTGCTTAGTTGTTTGAGTTAAATTAAAAATATTTACATAAAACCCCAAGGAAAAGATGAAGATATAATTGCGATAGCAAGTTACTAGAAACTAGAAACTCTTATGAAGTTTTACCTGGAAAGCATTTTCATCATGTCTCATTCAAATTACACTTACATCTTACTTTTTGGTACACACGATGTGATATTTTAGTATATAAACTGCATCATTTGTCATTTTCAGGAGGATTAAATTTATTTTATCCTATACAGAATGGCAACACTTTCCTCCCATTTTTCATAATATTCTAATTCTCCCATCACAATAGGATCCTAGTTCATAGGATCATATCATAATCTGTGGCGCTCAGAAAAATATTACTTTACTGTAAAAATAGTTACAAGTGGTAACCTTACAACCTTGTAAGCACAGGTTTAAAAACACTTCTACATATTCTTTCCTCAATTCAGCAATAAAATGCATTCTTTGTGCTGCAAAACTTAACTGTGTATCACTGGAATGCCAAAATATGTTAAGCTTCAGAATCTGTATATAAAGAAATGAAATGGTTCTTAATAATGTAAAGGAAATAATGATTTCTCAATTTATCAGATATTCATATTTAAAGATATATTAGCAATAAAAATATTACTGGGTTTAAACAACTTCCTTCACTTTATATTATAGTTCTTAAAGAAGCATTCTTTCCATTTAAAGAAATCTTACCAGATTGCACTTCCTTAAAACATGAGGATATTCACTAACTTCCACCTTTACAGCACAGAGATCACCAACAATTCAAACCATTCATTAGAGCTTACAATTTCAGCCAAGAGAATAAAACCTCAGCAGCTGAAGCTGCTTATCTAGAACAACAGTGGGCAACATCTGTCTCATTTCCACAGATATAAAATGAAAAAAACCCCACCCAACCATGGATGTCAAAAAGAAAATAGGTATTGTAAGTTCAAGCACTTCCCATGAGCCAGGTATATCCACAGGCATCTTACATCCAAAAGCTGGTCAACTTTCCTACAGTATAATGTTCCTAAATGAGAGTGCCTTCAGACAGGTTTCACACAAGGTCTCGTCTGGATTCGGAATTTACTCCTGGGAATGAGATCACTGTGCTCTGCTCACACAACTTTCAAAACGTGATTAAATTACATCCTTGCCCAGCTGCTGAATTACTCTAAGTTGTTAAAGAAGCTCTTTTCAAGTCTCCTGCAGAGCCATCCTGTATCTGTAACAAGCTTGCGGCTCTCAGTTCTAACCATCTTTAGAAAGATGTCATCTTTTGTTCCTGTAGCTTCCTATCGAACTACAAGACAGAGAACGCAGTATAAGTTTACAATTGAACAGAAGTTCGTGCATTATCTCTTTGCATATATGCAGTATTCATTTTATTTCTGTACTTCCATTAAAAAATCTTTTAATTTGTTGCTTATTTTTATTAAAAAATGACACTTGATCATCAGCAGTTCACAATGTAACTGTGCTACTGCCATTATGGGACAATATTCTAATTAATTTTTTGTTGCTATCAGTCTCAGTTGCTCATGATACTGTGTATGTAAATCTTTTCATCTGCTGAAAATACTGAAAATAGTATAATGATTTATTAGTGGAGAATCATAGATTCTGAAATAACTTAGCTTAACATTACTGCAAAATATTGTAGATTTACAAGATGTTCCTTCATATTCACCACATGAACTAAGTTTGTTTAAAACTATCAGATTATACTTTTCAGTTCCATGTGTTACTCAAGCACCTAGTACTGATTATAGGACATTGTTTATATATGAGTTGCTACTATTTTTTTTCTGTTTTCCCGCTAATCATTGTATAACAAACCATATCACTCACATAGAAGTTGCCCTTTGTCTTAAACCTACTTTACCATGCTCTGCCAAGTAAGACAAATTGGGACATTTATACATACAATGGGTTTCATAAAATGCTTAGAAAAACCTTTACCCTTACTTCCACACAGGTTTCTCCTGAACACTGTAACTTACAGGATAGGATGCAGTAACTGTTATCTGGTGACACCAACAGATATACTTTGAGAAATAACTCGTGCAGTCCTTGCCCAGGTATAGTACAACTATCTAATACCCTAACACAGGGTATCCTCTGAGTTTCTTACTGTTTCCTTTATTACACATACTTGTTAAGTGTCAGTATAACAAGAAACAAGATAGATGACAGCTACAGAAATTTCCCTAGTGACAGAAGCCCCCTTCACAAGACAGACTGCTTTTTCCTTTTTTTAGGAGATGAATAAAATCCACTTCTAAGAACACTTGAAAGGTTATTTCAATAGGGCTGTGGGAAAATGGACCATTCTTCAGAAACTGCAGTCTCATGAAGTTAGCTGAGCCTTTGACAACAAATCTCTAGCCGTGGCATCTAAGCTTTGCCTGTTCCTTGTGTTGCTGTTCGCTATATTTTCAAGGTAAATTTTGCAGTAGAAACACCATTTGATAAAGAGTAAATTAATTCTCAGCTCTTCACATTTTTATGTCAGCCTCATCACAGTGGTCTCTGAGGTTGGGATTCATCTCACAATGTTAGATACCAACAATTTAGCTTTCAATACCTGAGCCAGTCAACCTGGACTCCCTTTAAGGCCAATGGAGATAAACCTACCCCTGCTGGGAATCATTTATCTGATTTATTTTAGATGTCTATTTTAGAAAGCCAATGAACTGCACCTTAGATGTGTTTAACTTCTCTCCATAAAAAGAGAAATAAAGAGAGCCTGGGATGACTTTTTCATATGTACATACCTAGATGTTTTAGACATGAGTATTTGGTCAAATTAATTCCAACTGGAATGATTTCCAGAAGCATGTAATTTAACAAGAAGTTAGGACTCTTTTGATTCCTGGTCTCTTCTGTTCCATTTCTACCCTGTTGTAAAATGTTTATTGTGTGAGTTGAGGGTTTTATACATAATGTATTATGTACTGCTGTTTAATGAGGCGAGGTCAAAATCCATTATGCATTTCACCAAAAAGCCTATGAGTTTTGTGATTGTTTTCAATTTCAGCCCTTCAGAAATTCCACAGGGGACATCTCCCAGCACAGCATTATTCCCTGCACAAATTATTTTTTCCTGATAGAAAACAGTTCTGTTGTTCCTGAGCATTATTAATACTGCCAAAAATTGCTTTGGTCCTAGCAAATGGGTAATGCTAGCCTAGACAACTGACTGCTTTGAAAAGGATTAAATTTTTCTACTTAATATATTTCATGATTTTTAAGAGAATTAGTGGCCCAGTACCAAGTAATTACAAGGGAAATCCTTTAATAATTGATGCTGTTGGACTGTTTCTTCTGGAAGAATCAACTTATACGTTCACGAGCTGAAATCACATAGGAGAATAATCTCAGATCTGTCTGGAGAAGTCAGAGAGAAAGTCTTTTATAGATTTGGGCTGTTTTAGGAAGCTGGGCTGAAAAAAATATTGGTCGTGAGACTAATTTTTGTATTTCTGCTTCTGTATTTATACTCAGCATTGCCGTCATCTCCGTACCTTGGGAGCCACTTTTCAGAAACTATTAATAATTGCACCTTTTACCTTTTCTCCTCGGGGAACCAATCTATGGGGGAGACAGGGGGGACACTTTCCTTTCTCCTTCAGACGAGTTACAACAGCTCTTGAGAATTTTGAATCTGTATTTATACTCAGCATTGCCGTCATCTCCGTACCTTGGGAGCCACTTTTCAGAAACTATTAATAATTGCACCTTTTACCTTTTCTCCTCGGGGAACCAATCTATGGGGGAGACAGGGGGGACACTTTCCTTTCTCCTTCAGACGAGTTACAACAGCTCTTGAGAATTTTGAATATCCACAGAATGTTCAAACCAGCATGGTCCTATTGCTAGGTCTCCTGAATGTGGTTCAGGTCTTTTTTAAGGTTAAACAATTATTTAAGAATACCATCCAGAGATCAACCCCCATGACAGGCACTGCGGCTACTCAAACCCCAGCAACAGGCACTGCAGCTACTCAAACCTGCACGACAGGCACTGTGGCTACTCAAACCCCGGTGACAGGCACTGTGGCTGAACCAGAGAACCAACACAAGAAGAAATATACAAGAAAATCAACTCATTTAGTAAGGGACGAAGATGAACCAGGGCCATCACGAGAACAGGAGCAGGAAGAGGCAGAACCCATAAATGAGATGGTAACCACCTCATCCCTCTCCCTGAGTGAGCTGCGAGATATGCGAAAAGATTTCAGTCATCGTCCAGGCAAGCATGTTGTCACCTGGCTGCTCCAATACTGGGATAACAGGGCCAGTAGCCTGGAATTAGAGGGTAGGGAAGCCAAGCAG